TGTGTGTAAACAGTTAAGAGTTATCTAAAGGTGGGTTCAGAGAGAACAAATATCAATGAAAAGACATGAGTGAAAGATGCGTCCAAAAATTTTTAAAATGTTTCAAACTAAAAAAGGAATATGAGCTGATCCTGGTGTTTTATGAATTAGCTCCATAAATTGAAGCTGTCTCTAAGAGTTGCATCTCAATTCTTAGTTTTTTTTGTCTTTGCACAAGTTCAGCCTCCCTATAACAAGCATTCACAAACTCTCAAGTCAACCGCCTGTCAATATTGTTTATATTCTTTGAAATAAAGACCCCCTGGAAATTAATTTATCCAACTTTCAATCAAAAGTTTTCAGTGTTTTGTTGTTGTTTCTGTTCTTCTGCAGTGTGTGTGCGTGTGTGCGTCTGTTTCTGCGCGGGCCAAAGAGACAGTGAGTGAGAGATTGGTGTCAAATATAAAGACTTCATCTGACAGAGAATGTTGCCACAGCCCCCCTCATCATAACCCACACACACACACACACACACACACACACACACACACACACACACACACACACAGTGCAACCTGACAGCAGAGAGAGTTATCTAAGTTCTTCTTTGGTCTGTCAAAAATAGAGAAGAACCCATCAAAGCATGTGTGTGTTTGATGTGTTATCGGTCCAATAGAGACTGTATCATCTCTGCATCTATCTACTTCCTCTTCTTCCTCTCACAGTTTTAAGACAAACATTTAAGTGTGGCAGACTTTCTGTCTCTCAGTGTTAATTGCAAACATTTCCAGCTGAAACAGTTTGCAAGTTAATCACTGACTGCGATCTGAATTGTATAAACATGCTTGAACTACAGTTTTGCCTTGGGAGACTCAGCGTTAATCCTCTCTAATGAAAAACAAAACTGTGCATTACCGTTTTCTTCACTGCGTTGCAGTAATGCAGTGATGCAACTCACCAATCACAACATAAACAATAACCAGGAATACATTTTTTTTTGTTTGCTAATGTTACAGCTTTTTTAATCTATTTTATTGTATCTCATGTCAGCTTTCTTACTTGATTTGTCTTTTTGTTTTTAGCTTATCAGTCACAAGCCCTTTGATCTGCACAAATCTGTAGAAAAGTGCTATACAAATAAAGTTTGAATGATTGATTGACAAGAGAATGACAGGGCAGGGCTACGATACAGTCCTCCCTCAACCCTCATTGGACGCTGGACAAGCATTTTTTCCTTCTCACTAGAGCTGCTTTCATACTTCAGTGATAAATGAAGCCTATACCTTGAAGTCACTCTCTGCCTCTAGTTATGTTTTCCTAGAAACCCTCATTAGCTGACCTCTCAGTGACCACCAGACCTCCTGGGGGTCACAAGAAACTTTAAAACAATATCATAAAACACAGCTGACATGTGAAACCATCAGACAGGTGGGCAGTATAACAGGATTAATAACAATAGATATCAATAAATGACACAGATTAGCTTCAAGCACACTAGGGATACACGATTAGTTGGAACACTGATTGTAACACCATGTATTCCACTTAATTAATGAGCAATATACTGTGGTACATTTCAAATGCTGCTTTACTTTGCATATGTGCCATCTGAAATAGTAAGGAATTCTACTCTGTCTAAAATATACTTTCTCTTTTTACTTTCTTCATCTCCGTTCCTCCTGTTATCTCTCCTCTCGCCCCTCCTTGCTCTCTGTGAGCCTGAGAACCTTTATTGTTTGTTTGTTGACCTCTGGCGATGTCAGTCCTGCTGAGGTGTGTGTGTGTGTGTGTGTGTGTGTGTGTGTGTGTGTGTGTGTGCGTGTGTGTGTGTGTTTCTATGTGCTCTGTGTTTATCACTCATTACTTACATACAGCCTTCAAGGCCTGTAATTAACTTCAGCTTTGATGCCCCCACCTGCTCATTTCCTGCACACACACAGAAACACATGTGCATTCAAACATGAAGCACATCTCTCTGTTGTTCGTGCAACAAGACACAGTCACACAAATGAATGCACACACACACACACACATACCACACACACATACTCACTCTTCAACACTGAGTCATGCTGTGAGCCTAATTATGTTTTAGTGAAAACACACTTCACATCTCTGAGACCAATCTCTGTGCGTGCGTGCGTGTGTGTCACTCGTACATCGTACAACTGTTTTTGCGACACCAATACAACTTACACACCTCTCACTGATGTCAAATCAATAAAAGATGTGGAACATACATTCTGACACCCCGGTTCATGAGTACTGGCCACAAGTCAAGCAGATGTAGTCGTGACATTTATTCAATATCTCAAAAACATGGTCATACTCCCAACAACATGGTCTCCATGGCCTCCGTCTTCTTCCACACATACTTCTCTATTTGCCCCAAGCTCATAGAAAAATAATGGAATTCAGTGGAGGCACAAACTCTCTAATTTATTATTGATTTTTGTTGTTATAACTCCATCTTCCTATGTATGAGGGTGGATATGTTTTTGAGATATTGGATAAATGTCAAGTTACAATGGTAGCCAGGAGTTCTAAAACTGCGTGCGTGTGTGCGTGCGTGCGTGCGTGCGTGTGTATCACATATCTTTTAACCTGTATGTGGACATTAAAATCATAAACAAAGGGCTCTTTTCCTCAATGAAATCATGTTGACAATGCTAGACAATGATGTTTAGCAAGTATAATGTTCACCTTCTTTTTGCTAATTAGCAATAAGCACAAAGTACAACTGAGGCTGATGGGAATGTCAGACTGGGTCAATTCAACAACCAAACAACAGCTTGTCAGTTGAACAATGGACGTCTCCATGTTAGTCCTCTCATCATGGCGCTTCAAGGTGATGTGGGAGCTACTTTTACAAACCACAACAAAGGCCATTATGACTGCAAGGCATTAGTCTTGAAATGGGAAATTCAGTGTAAGCAGGCAATAGTCAATTTTGGGTGTAAGTGAAATATTTTTGCCTTCCCTGAGTATTCACGACTGACATTGACAGCCACAGTGGTGATGGTAGAATGGCTTCATACATTTATACCATGTACATGTGTTTGCATGTGTCAGGTAACACATGCAAATCCAACTACATGTCTGCTGACTAATATATGTTCATCTTTCCTCACACTTTAGTTTTTAAAGACTGACAGTGATGTGAAGGGAGCAGCTGGAGGAATAAATTCACATTACAGAAAATAAACAATACTGCACTGCTGTTACTTCCTGTAGTAGCAGTTCTCCACATTTACATCCCTGCAGCGCATTTGTTAGTTATTCTTTAGCTAAACAAATTGACAAGCTCACAGTCCAGTAATTGAGAGAGGAGATACACACAACAGTTGGCACAGCAACAGTCTTCTACTGCTGTCTACGAAACAGTTGGGGGTGAAGCATCTCTGTCAGCGGTGTAGGACAGTTGAGGGTTAAGAATTATTCATTTCTTTGTCAATGAATAAGCAGATGCTCTTAAGAGCTACATAATCTCATCACTGACTGTGGATGCTGTTTAATATCTACAGCCTGTGGTTTGATTGCAGTTACATGCTGTTTGCCCAGTGAAGTAATAGGAAACCAATGACGGAACCTGTGCCAGTATGGCTAGAATGGACCTGACTGACCTTACAGTTGTGGATGCTGTGCTTTGTGCCAAACGAGACAAGTCTGCTCAAGTGTGCTTGTTTTTTTATTTTGTTTTTCCAGCACACAATCCACTCCAACATACTGTATCTGCATCTACATGATCCATCCCCAGACAACATGCACAGTTATTCACAAAACCATATGCGCAATTGAATCATACTGTAAAAAGTCAGTCCAGAACCCTTGCGATAAATAGAGCAACTATCAGTTATTTACATTATTTCTATTCAAATGATTTAGATACTGTACTGCACATCTCCCAACTACTGGTTTATCTTTGTTGGTCAGTATTACACAAGGCACACCAGACAACACAAATACACACATTGCAAGAAGTAAAGCGACAATCCTTTCCACTGGAGTAACAGGAGATATTAGAGAGTGCCATTGCTGCTCAACTGATCATACTCTGATATAATTTACTTTCATGTGGAAATCAAAACTGGACATGAGCTACGTCTTTATGACTGATCTCATTAATCATCTTCCATTTGCTACCAAGCCTCATATACATACTGTATATTGCCCATAGTAATTTACCCTTCATTCACCTTGCAGTCCCTGCACCAGAAATCAGTACACTGGTTTCTCTCACCAGTCTCATTAAATACACATACATCTGCTTTGCTTGATAAAGTGAGTTTGGCTACAGTAAAGAAAGCAGCCGTGCCATCAAACATCCAGCTGGACAAATATCACAAGCAAATGACATGAAACGGGACAAATCATCACATTGTCCATTTATACTACACTCAGAATTTCTATATAATTGAGTGATCAGCTGATAATGTGTTTTAAAAAGTCCTGCATAACCCCCATGTGCTTTGGCATAGCATCTTACATAATCTTAGCTACTTTGCACAACAAGCCTTCCACCCATATCTGTGCAGAGGAAACCATTCACAGTGAGGTCAGTGAGGGGAAACTCTTATTTATGAGATTTTATTGTCAGATGTTACTTCAACTGTTGTATTTTCTACCGCTGACAGTTTCAAATACAAACGTCTGCACACTGTAGTACTCTGAAACCATGAAAGAGCCATGGTGCCATCTAGTGACCAGTTTGGTTGCATTTACTACCGTGCATTTTGAGTCGCAAACAATTACACACACACACACACACACACACAAATGCTATTAACTGTCTACAAAGTCCATGATACACACACAACTTGAGAGCAACAGAGATATCAAGCGACTGTGAGAGAGTGTGGTGTGAATATTATTACTTTTTCAGGGTGCTGACATGGACCAGAAACACGTCCTTATTCACCACACTGCCTGCAGTCCTCCTAACCTCACAGCAGCCTGCACAGAATGATATTAAACTACTACGGTACAGGGTGTGTGTCTTGGAGGACTGCTGTCCGTCTCACCGTGTGAAGCAGCGGTGGCAGACATCTCGAGCCAGTCTGTTGGACACACAGCAGGCCAGCGGCTCGGCGGAGTACACCAGCTCTCCTCTCTTGATCCTGGCTGTCGACCGCAAACCGTTACCTTTTCCCGGGCTAACAAAACGCTCCAGTCTCGGTGCCATAGTCAGTTTTCCCTCCACGTGAATCGAGCGGTGTTTACATCCGTAATGAACGCACGGGCTGCGTGATGATGTCACAAACACGTACAGAATCTCCGTCGACGTTATATTTTGTGTCTCTGTTACAGATAATTTTTGTGTATGAGTAAATTACAGTGGAAACCGCTTATAGTGATCACGTCTGGCAAATTGATCAATATAAGTGTTTCTAAAGAAAGGATTCTGTCCCAAGCTTTTAGATCCATGTAAGCTGTTGATGGGCAAAAGCTCCCAAAAAAACCCAGGATCCTACATTTCCCATAATGCTCCATCAATAACATTTTTCATTATACCCTCAACACCCCCCTCAGTGGTCACTTCTTTCAAACCCCTCACCTTCATTTTTAAGTGTAGGATCTTAAATTTTAAAGTCTAAAGCCCAAGTTGTCAAAAAATAACCCTGATGACATCACAATGACACCACCAGGGTTATTTGTTCAAAACTTTGGAAAGCTCCCTCCAGAGTAACACAAGCCATTACACAACTGATCTTTAGTACACTAAACTTCATATATAAAATTGATGGAGTGCCCCTATAAATGTCCCATTATGAAAATATAAGGAGTGAGTATAAGTAAGAAATATTGTTTAAGTTGCAAATTCAACCACTACAAACTGTGTCTTAGTTAAAGGCAAAATCTACAATGAGTGTATCATCAATCTGTGACATTAAGTGCATCCCAAGAATTTATCTTAGAGTCACTTTCCCTTAACTTGCCTTATCTTCTAGTTGTTTCCTACATTTCCCATTATCGATTTTGGGTTGTGTGAGTAGGCAGGGAGAAAAAAAGCAAAGACAGTTTGGAAAAAGAGCTTGTTGCTATTTTTCTCTAAAGGGGCTGACATTAAAACCACATTACAGTGATTAGTGTTTCAGGTTTGATTTGTATTCAAAATCATCAAAACCCTATCCTTGACTGAGGTCTGCCGTTTTATATCTTTCTAAGGCCTCAAGTAGCTCTAGAAGACTATTTTCTCTCCCTCTACCCCAGCAATTTTTAGATCAGTAGCTCTCATTGACCTCATGACCTCATTTTACCAAGGGATAATATTTTGGATGGATGGCTTAAGTCCATCACTTGGAGGCAGCTGTGCTCACCCCCCTTGTTGTCTGTCTCTTTCTCCCACACATACAATTGAAGGAATCAAACAGCATCAGTGTGTGAGTGGCCAAGCAAAATCTCATAGCTGATGTAAATTTAAGGAATTCACACAATCTGATTTATGCAAGTACAGTAACGTGTGCATACACTAGACCAACAGTGCCACCTGGTGGATCGCTTGCTATGATGGAAAAATCATTGAAAAGAACCGATCAATCTCTTGGCACAGGGCCTCACACATCACACATATTACAATTAAATTGTTTTAAAGACATTTCAGGACCTCCAAAGGATTCATTCACAACCTTCTTGGGAATGTACTCGGATAAAACTGAGGAAGTGGTGATTCAACTTTTGTGATTTCCTCTGTCATATCTAATGTGAATCATTTCTATGTTTGATTTTATTTATGTTTACTTTACCTGTAGGGAATTGTGCTGTACAAGGTCCTACACTATCATTCAGTTTCTGTGCACTGATATGATTGGCTGTGAAGCAGAAAAGTGCAAAATAAGTGTAGTCCATGAGACAAATCATTTAGTTTCAACCATCTTTCACTTAATTCTTTGACATATTTTTGCTGATATGAAGCTAAACCGGCTTATGTTTTTGTACTAGTGTTGAGGTTAAATATTCTTTTGTTGTGGCTAGATTTTTATTCTAATTTCAAGAAAACTTCAGATGTCATATTGCTCACATTACTGGCAGATTTTTTTGGGTTTTTTTTTTTTTTTTTTTTTTGAATCAGAAAATTTAAGTCGTTCACAGAGTAGTCTGTGTTTTAATGGGGTAGTTTTTGCAGTGCATGACTGATGTTCCAGTGACTCCAGGTTTTATCAGAAGACAGTCTACGCTCAAAGTGTCCATGAGTGATGGACTGTAACAGCATGAGACCTCATGAGCAAAACACATGGAGAGAATTTTCCCCAATGGGAAGGACCAGGGCAGACGGCTAAATGAGGTCAAATAAGGAGGCCAACAAGCTGGCAGTTCATGCATTTCAAGGGGGATTTCATCACTGTTGCAGCTCTGTGCTGCAAATGCCTTGTGTTGCATCCAATAGATGTGTTCTACTGGTGAATTCATTATGCATGCTCAAACTGAACCACATTTTGGGTGGTGAGGACTTTGACAACTGTCCCTCTGAATCCTGTATCCCCTTCTCTTTTCATCTTAATTTCATCACTGCCTTTCATCAATGCCCTTATCCCGATTAAGTCTGGGAGTCCTTCCTGTCTCCTGCTAAGTTAACCCTTGATTTTGTCTGTGTCACTGCAAGGTCTGTGAACGCTAATACCCTTTCCTTCCTGCCTTTTTTTCCCTTTTGATCCCAACTATAATTGCATCCTGTCTGATCACAATACCTGTACACAGGGGTCACAACTGTATTTACATACAGTCAGGGCTAGGGTTTTTTAGTTTTGATTTTGGAACAGTACACAAATTGTCATTGTACGCTACTTCTATATATATATCGAACCCTTCTACATCCCTCCCAGTAGTTTTAAACATTGTCCTAAACTAAAATGTTTATATTATGATCAATTTACTGATAAAATATTGTGCACTGATCTGTGATTACTGCTTATTAGTATTGATATGCCCTGTGTACAAATGGTCACATGCACAGCATTTTCTTCATGAACAAAATAGACATTTGTAGATTGTAACCAATAGTGCAAAATAGTTTTAGCAGGATTTTAGAAGATGCTGCTTGAACTGATCTAATGTACTGTACTTGCTTTAACCTTTACTGCATTCTATTACGCTCATCCTCGCATCCTTCTGATCTTGGCCAGTCTGTATCCAGCATGTCAGAAACTGAAGTAAGTATTTGTCCGAGTGTCTAACCAGAGAGCAGACCTTGCTGCTCTGAGTCACAGTATCCTCCACTGCACACTGAAGAGCTTCCACTGAGGTACTAGAGTTACTTTTCTGATGTCAGACTCATAATCAAGACACATGATTAAGCTGTCCTTTAGACAACCCGTACGAATGAAGAATATTTTATGTTAGTAAAAAACTAATTTGGATGACACACTGACGATATGATAGAATCACGTGATCTGTGAAGGTAAACAAAGTATTTTGTTTTGTTTGTTTGTTTGTTTTGCTTAATTATGTTATGTAACTAAATGTATTGCCACATGACTGAGACAGTCATATCCATAGTGTGACTTACACACAGCCCGTACCAGTACATCTGACGCTCTGCAAAGCAAAAGTGGGAAAGTTTTCACAACAGCTTCAAAATTTCTAAATACAAAGTTCAACTCATTATCTTCTATTTGTATGAACAAGGATACATCAGTATTGTTGCAGGGGAGACAGAATGGAGGCTCACAAACAACTTTTTTCAATGGCTTTAACAGGAGACATAACAGGGGAAAAACCTCATCTCCTTATAACAATCTATAAGAACAAAGTGAAAAGAATTCAGCAAACAATTAATAAAACACCTTTCATCAGGCTGATAACAGTGGTACACAGTACTGATTCACACACAAAAATCATTTTCATTCATTCATTTCTAATGTTCTGCTAAAAACCAATTAGGAAAAACAAATGAAAACATATCCTGTGCCTTCAGATGAAAGAAACACAAACCATCTGCGTGTGAAGATGACATTACTGACAGCAGCAACACAAACTCACCAGTTTCAAATCATCATTAGGGACCGATGAGTGAAAATAAATGGAAATAAACAACATATATTGATGAGCCAGACAATGGTATTCAGGAGAGTTAGGTTATAAAATAAGAAATCAAATTCTCTGTCAAAGCCTCCTTAAGAACAATGGTGATATAAGAAATGAGCAACATATCTGTGTGTGATGACAACAATCCAGCTCAGAAAACAACTTTTCTTTCTTTTTTTCTTTACTACTTTGACTTGACATCCTTAGTATTATAAATAATTAAAACCATCTAAAGAGTAAATTTGAGGTTTTCTGAAAGATAGTCATCTGAACCAGCCAGACGACATGTGCAAATAAAAACAAGACTCAATCTACTATTCCTTATGTCCTGGGAAAACCTCATATCTCAAATGAATTTTCAGGTTCTGAGTGACACAGCATAAGAGAAAGATAATACTGTTTTATCCTAATCTATTAAAATGCATATGTAAGACACTTGAATCTTTCCTTTCTTTCCTTCTTTCCTTGCTGACAATTAAGACCTTTTTAAGATATGTGGTTTTTCTAGGGCATTTTTTATCGCATCCACTACAACAACAAATGAAAGGAAAAATAAAGAACAGGAAACCAAATATTACAATATGTTGCAATAACATAAAAACTATGGATGTCTAACTGGGCAAAAAGTGAGGTTAAGCAGTAAAATGCCCCCACTAAGACTAAAATTTGTTTTCAAACAATTAGAAGTAAGAGTTAAAAGACATTTAAAAGGCTACTGTCATGGATAAAGTGTAAGCCTTTTTTCAGACCAAACCTTTTCCTGTTTGATAAGGAAATAACTTCTCCACCCAAAGAAAGGTTGTTTTTTTCTCTATCTAACCAGGGCTCAAATTTCAGCAAATGTAAACACATTAGACGTACTGTATGCTTAACAATAATGGCAAAGGTTTTCGAGATGAGTCTTTAAAAAGACCAAGCGGTGGCAAAACCTTTCTAAGTACCAAAAATCTATTTTGAAAAAAAAACTAAAAAACAAATTTGACATTGAAAGTATTGACAGTCACAAACTAAGGATGGTGCCCAGAATCCCCCAAAATAGCAAACACACAGAGCTGGACTGACAGCACTTTAAATGATCAATCAATATCAAGGCTGTATTGATGAAGTGCACTGAATAAGTATAGTTTCCAACATTTGTATATTTCTCATTCATCAGTTATTGTTTTTTTCTTACTGAAATATTCCATACTTACAATTGGGTATTTT